GACTCGGTGCATCTTGTCCATGAGTTTGCATTAATTTAACTGGCGACTAAAACAGTGTTCACTCGAAGTGTCGCAAGCGCAGACGCTAAATGCAGTCGTCATCGTGGCATGGACACACCATTATCTGTTAATGGCGTTGGCACACAACTGGCGATTATCTGCGACGCTGTGTCCACTCTCCGATAGCTTGTCTTTAAAATGGAAATAGTTTATTTCTTTTTCTTAGTCCTTAAATTAGAATTATAGTTGGGTCTTCTTGGTACGTATTGTCTACTGGAATCAGGATTAGTATATAAGAAAAATACATGTTAGTATTCATAATCGTAGCTGTAAACATAACTGGCCAGCCGATACTAAATATACAAAACAAGAATTTATAAAGCATGTTAATAAAATACTCACTTAATTACTATTATGGTACCCATATAACAAAAATAGTGTACTGCAAATTAAAGAATTTGAGTTTCTGCGTGAGTTTTGCATGTGGTAATCATTATAATAAAAAAATAAGGCCAAGGGAAGGCGAGAATGTAAAATAGATTAGAATAGAAGTAATAACCATAATATGGGTACGTTGAGTTTTAGAATTAAGTGACACCAATCAATTATACACAAAGTTTTTTACAACTATGCCACTGTAAGTGATAAATATAATTTTTGGTTAATATATTATAATATAGGTACGTGCCGAATTTACTACAAATATACTAACAAGAAATAATAACAAAAAAACGACGTAGCTCTGTCTACGAGATATGATCTAAGGGTTAAAAGTAAGGGACTTATGTAGCTTTAGTATAGAAAGAAGGACGTATAATAAAGGTGACCACTAAATTGATATAGTTCACTAGCGGGGATTCTCAAAGGTTTAGAGTACATTAACTTAAACAAGAATACATCCCGCGCCACCCCAAGCAACAATACAATAACTCATTATAGATTGCACCAAGGTAATACAACTGGTCGAGTAAGGTTTTGTCAGCAACGTGTTTAAACTTTTTAAATTGTCAAATGAGCTGTCTTGCTTGTCATGATGTCGTCGTTACCATTATTTAGTGTCTAAGGCATCCAAATATTAAAATTTAATCAATACAAATAAACACATTTAAGGCTGCAAATGTAGCTCTGGGCAAAGCTAGCTTAGTAAGGAGAGCACTCCAATAGAATTATCTCTTTGTTTGTATTCGCTATCCGCGGGGCTTATCCGATAATTGAAACATAATCCCTGTTCTCGAACATACCGCTCGCTGCACCGGTGCAGGGGGTGGGGCGAGGAGGTAAAATTTCCGGGTACTTTCCACCCCCTACCCGTGGCCATATCTATAAATTGAAAGGTAATTATACCCGTAACACAGAGGAGCGGAATACAGAAACTAGAAAATACGTCATTTCCAGTGAATAGGTATCCTGTGTATGTTGTCTCTGCTTACTACATTACGAGGAAAGTCTTTATTTAATAAGATGGGAGCTTTCTGTGAGGTGGACCGCGTGTTGAGCTCGGGACGCACTGTACTAATACGTCAGTCGAAAGTAGTCTTTATAATTAGGACAAGTGTCGCCTCGACTCGCATGTTAGTACTGAGCTTGGGTGAGTAAAAACGCTTAGCCGGCTGCAGACCACGAAACAAGTGAAGGTGGCCAAATTGGTGAAGCTAATCGAGTTCTAATATTGGTAAGGATGCGAAGCGTTGCGTCATGTATAGACGATTGAGGCGAAAATTATCTTTGCGATCTGCGATCGGCTCTGGTTATTACGCGAATTTGCGGTCGTGTTCATTTTGACACTCGATACACGAACGCGAACAGTCACACAGCCTTCGGATGCGCGTTTTATAGAGCGAATATCTCAAAGAATAATTTTGTTCACGTCACGACGCAACTAAAGGTTAATGAAGATTGCGATCCCATGTTAGGCGGGACATTTATTGTCCGCCGAAGGGTGCGTTTGCGCAAGTGCAGTAATGATAGGTGCTCTAGATCGCGCATGCGCGGTGGACCTTGTGCATGAAGCTGATTATGGACATCGTATGATAATAATAGTAATAATCGGATAAGTGTATGCGTGACTGATGTTGCGAAGGAATGAGAAGATAGAAGGATTTACTAAGTCACTATTGAATTTTATATTCAAATTCAAATTCAAGTACTTTAATTCAGATTTCATCCATATTAATTAGTAAAACAAACAAAAACTTACATATTAGTGTTAGAAAATACAAATTCATAAATACGTACTGGGTTTAGGACACACACGTAATTTAGTCCAGTGTTCAAAAAATGAACCCAGGTAGGAGCCAGCAACAATACCCACAATGCTATTACCGCTGCCACGAACTCTGCGCATCAAGGATGCCGCTCTTTTTCTCATTATGGCGGCAAATCCGTCTACATGAGCATCGGCGAACATTCCTGACGCGCTACAGAATCGCGGCAGCCGCAACAACATCCGGAACATATTGTTATATATAACTCTTAGAGAGTTGAAAGCAATGTTGGAAAACTAAATATTTATCACGGTGGTTCTTTTACTCTTGATTTAATTCCATAGGAACACACAGTTTCATCGAGGCCAATATAACCCCCACAAAGCAGATTGTATTCTGAGAAATCACCGCGCTGAAAGTGGGTCGTTACAGTCGCTGTGGTTGCGTCAAACCAGCCAAGAATTGATTACTATGCAAGCACAAAGCAAAGTAGAGATTTTCATACTTTTTTTAACTCCACCGCCTAACGGAAGGCAAATGGGTTTCTTTGAAAATAACTAGCACAATTTATTATATATTTAGTAGCAGTAGAACTCCTCGTGAAAGAGTTCCTTCACGAAAGTACTGCCACCACGCCTATTTCCACCAAGAAGTAATGTGACCATTACTGCGTTCCGGTTTCGAAGGGTAAGGGTTCTGGTGAACTGTAGCACTTGGGACTTGGCAACTTTATGTCTCAGGGTGACGGGCGCAGTGGCAGTGCGCCTCAGATCTTTGCAATTTAAAGCTTTGATTGACAATTCAACTGTTATGAGCAGGCGTGTCGCTTACCAACAGGCGCACGACTCGTGTTAGTCCCGTTAATTGGAATCATAATTCGTATATGTATATATTCATAAAGTCCTTGGTCCATACAAGAGTAACGTGGAACGTGTAGTTTGTAAGGATAGAAATACGTTGTCGTAAGACGGAATACAATTTTTTTATAAATTAAATTTTTAGCCTACATACATACTATTTTATGTACTATCACGCCTATTTCCCACTGGAATAGGTACAGTCGAATCTTCACCCACTGCGTATAATAATACGGTACGTATTGCTAGTATAACCAACCTATTTTATTTTAACTTATTGGAAGACTAACGACTATCTTACAGAACAAAAACCGGAGAACCAATTCTACATAGGTTCTCAACAATAGACACACATTACTACTTACATACTACTTATTTATTAATTTATTTGGCAAAGCTTCAGAACACAAATTAAAAACAACTGTATCATGTAGATACATAAACAAGTAACTAAATTTGTTTTCCTTTTGCAGCTATGCACGTCATTTGAATGAGGAATATACATTAAAAAGGGCTTAACTTCCTAGTCAAAATGAGATTTAATGGGAAAACAAAAATTTACTACAATTTATAAAAGCAACAAAAACAAAAAAAAAAATAAGAAAACCACACAGAAACAGAACTCAATATGGGATGATATTTTATGTTAAAAACCTACAAAAAAGAAATTACTAATAAGACGCTTTACCGATGCAACACTAGAGATAAAAGGGTCAATATCAACCTGCTTGGACAATACATTAAAGCTATGACTCGCATGCAAGAAATATGCACTCGTTTGTTAAAATTATTAATACAAAGATTCGGACCGACGTCTTCTACTTCCGTGCCAGACCTTATACTAACTAAGCCACGGATCGAACCAAAAAAAAAAAATTAAAAATTAAAAAAAAATTAATATGCACTCCGCCGGAAGTTCAAAGAGGCCGAAGGTACGCACAGAAGTGAGTTAAACCTAAGGGTCTTTGGGGCTCTAAAAGAAGTCTTGAACACGAGTTCCGGGGAACGGCACCAGAAGCAATTTTACATAACAATACAAGGTCTTCGATTTAACATCGCACCTCCAGTGGCAAAAGATAGAATAGTCAAAACAGCAGTTGCTTTCATATAAGTAAATGGGTACTATTTGTTACTAAATTGGTGATGAACTACCTCCGTGGCTGAACGGTTACCATGCCGGATTGCTACGCAGGGGTCCGAGGTTCGGTTTTCGGAGCGGGAGAAATATTTGTATAGCCTACATTTACTTATCTCGTGAGTTTGGGTGTAATTTTTGGTTGTCTATGTGTGTATCCATGGCACCCGCGACACAGTGTTTCTCTAGTGAGGGGCTATATTGAGTGTGTGCGTTATATGGGTAGTCTTATAATGTTGCTGGCGACTGTACATAGTTGATCATTGTTCTATAATGCTGTTCCAAGCTTAAGTTTGCCATCCATTTCTCGGTTCCTCGCGGAATTGGGTCATTGTAGACTCGATATCATTCTAGTGCTACGACTCGAGGGCGAGGGCGACTCGAGGGCATCTCGAGCGGGATCGTGCGATTTTGAGACAATCGAGATTAACGAGTTATATTTAACGTGGTGCTTGGAAAACTAACTATTGCCAATGATCGTTTTAGTCACGGGTTCGCTTTTTCTTCTTAGCGTGTTGGCTCTGACGTTTATATTCGTGACATTCGTGAGGACCAGTTCTTAGCGACTGACACAACATTATCAGTGGAGTTGTACAGGTCTTCACACATATATGCACTCTCCGAGCTATAACCACACCTGTGCATGCTGTCCACGGGTTCGCTAAAACAACTGAATAAGTTTCTGATAGTTTTTTAAATAAAAATATTTAACACTCAAAGTAGTCATACGAGAAAGAAGAACTTACTATCATTCACTGCACCGAAAATGCCTATCTGCCACTTCTAATCAGTTTTTCTTTGCAGGTCGATGTGCTCAGATCTGGTGTACGTGATCTTGTTCCCGCAACTGCTAATGGTGGTGCACTTTAAGCACCACTGCAACACGTACGGCTCGCTGGCGGCGTACATCGTGGCGCTGCTCGTGCGACTGTCAGGTGGCGAAAAGCTGCTCGGCCTGCCAGCCCTAATCCACTACCCTGGATGGGACGCCGTGGACGAAGTCCAGCTGTTTCCTTTCCGTACCATGGCCATGGTGCTCTCGCTCTTTACGCTGGCTTTCATCTCTTGGCTCTCTGTGTAAGTAGCATTCATTATTAGTTTTATTATTTAACAGCGTATAGCCTAAAACACTTTCCATACAGGAGATGCTAGCCCACCAACAAAATCTTGCGTATGTGTTTTATTCGTTATATAGTTGTAAAACGCATGTTACATTCGTGTTCGTTACCTCTCGGCAGCTACCTTTCATGTTTACTTTTCCGAACATGCCTGTATTTGTACCTTGACGTGTTCTCGTAGTCACAAAGCACATAGCCTGCAGGCGTTCGCCTTGTATGCGCGTTGTCGAGTACATTCCCTTGTTCTTGGGACATCATAAATTCATACATTTCTGCTTGAGCTTTCGTCACTCGTTTTCTTTTATAATTTGAAATGGCTAACTGGATCGTAGAAGTATTCGTTTTTTGGCAATTTATTCTTCGGCTGTAGAGGTCGTAGTCCTTTCGAACGTTAATTGAGAAGTTTCCCTCCTTCTCGTCTAAAAAACTCCACGCCTCCGGCGCACGCACGTTCGTTAAGCGCTGTAGCGCCCGGGGCAAGTTCAAATATTGTATCTGTTGTAATTAGAAATTATATATAAGGAACTTGATAAATAGCACGCCGTAAAAGTGGATTTGATAACGATATATTGCCTTAAAAATGCTTATGTATGACAAGAATAAATACATAACCTTGTATAATTACAATTTAGTAACAAACCACTAAATCGTGTATAACTTACTAATGTCGGCACTATTTGTCCATAACATTTCTCAAAATCGAAGCTAAATCTTGTGACACGAAACTGACGAAATCGGTTGCATTCCTTCCTGTCGATAAATGCAAGTAAATGATATAAGAGATTCCGAGCGATGAGCCGTCGGTTATTACCTCGGCAATCGGTCAATTCGCCTCACGACCACTGCACTCAAGTCTCGTAACTGACGACTCCGATCGATCGCTATCTTGTGGTGGAAAATATATATCTTGAATAAAAAATTGTAAACATTAAAGACTATTTATTACATGTGGTTAAGCGTAAAAGTATCCCAATTTCGGTCAATCAACTTTTTACGAACACTGTAGCGAATGTTTAGAAGAAATTAAAAAAGTATTTGACAATAGTAATTTGCATTATATTAAGTAGAGTCATCATTTATGCTAGTTTTTTATCTTAAAATGCAAATTTTTTAAATAATCCATGAAAGCCATTACCAAAACTTGGCACACAAAAAGTCGCATAAAAAATCATCAATCCATTTATACCTCCCACTACTGGACACGGGTTTCTCAACGTTTTAAGCTGTTATAAGTTTGATATCTTTCCTTGTCTGTGGCATTGTAAGCGCTGATAACCACCGGTGTGTCGCTAGTAGAAGGGATTCAAATCTGAGCGACCAGTGACATATCGGCGGCTACCGCGACATTCCGGCGAACTCTGTGGCACGCTGGGGGACGCTCGCGGTATCGTAGAGATATCCCTTATCAGTTGCTGGAGGGTAAACGATCCTCTTCGATGCCCTTCACGCCGTACGCCGGTTACCTGCTAAATGGAAAGTGAACCGCGGCCCTGCAAGGTGTCCGTGTCGCGAGCGGGCATTTGTTATTTGGACACGATTCAATTGCTGTATGTCTTAAAAGATGATTTACTTTCAGAGTATGGCAAATATGAAGCCTCGACTTTATACAATCTTTTTGTTTTTTTTGTAGCCGCGTACCAACGTACTGATTTTTTACGTGTTAGGTGAACAGACGTATAAAAGATCATTGCTTAACAAGTAATTGCAGCGTACAGAATACTATGTTCTGTCAAACATTTGGCGTTGTTCTCTAGGATTTAAATCGAAATAAAGAAGTGAAGCTTTTCATAACCATATTGTGTACCTAGGTATATTAATATTTAAGTCTACACATAGCCAATTAGAAAGACATGCATTAAAACTCCTTACATGTACATCGAATTAACCTGTTTATTCTGAACAGTACAGTACCGTACACGTCCGAGTGCCGGGCCCGGTTATCCTTTCTTTAAGGCATTTTCTACAGTTATATCTAAAAGCTCTATTACAAAAATGATATTAAAAGTCGCTGTCTATCGCAGGTACTTATTTAACTCGGGCTACTTGAGCCCTGAGTCGGACTACTTCAACTGCGTGGTTAACATCCCCGAGGACATCCGGCGCGTCGACGAACCCTCCGAAGCTGGAGAGCAGATGTCTGTGCTTGGAGGCGTTCCAGGAAAACTTTACGGAGCAGCTTCAACTCTAGTCGGTCCCGACGAGAAGTCTGGCAGGATCAATCCAGCTCTAGAACCCGATGATGATGACCTCGATGATCCTAACGATGGTCCAACTCCCCTCTTCGGCTCCAGCAGCGCCCCTCCCCCTGTGCAGCCGTTCGGCAAGCAAACGGCTTTCTGAGAGGACGCCAACTTCTACTAAACTTAGTTGCTTGCAGTGCACCTGTCTTCTTCAGAAGGCACCAGTGAGGAGGATAGAAGCAACTAGGTGTAGAAAGGAACGTAGAAAGGACACTATGTGTAGAAACCGCACGACAAACGGAAAATGTTTTACAATGATTTTACTCTTCTTAGTTGTGCCCTTTCTTTCTAGATCTCATACATCGAAATGAGCCGTATTATCGAGTTACGACGTAATATGCTCAAACTATTACATATCATTCTGTATCTTCCGATGCACTTTTGTAGGTGTGACTTGATTACTCTACGAATACTGCTTTATTTTTAAACTTAGGTGTAATCACATTGTCGACGTATATCTTAAAACGCTTAGAGAAATTATATACGACAACGTTGAAGCAATATTGTGTATTTTGGTCGATGTATAAAAGATTTTAAGCGATGTTGTTTTGTAGAAAATATAATAAATAAATATATTAAACAATGCATGATAATTGATAATGGAACTCTTACATATCAAAATGTGGACTTAATGTTATTAGAAGAGATATACATACATAGTAAATATAATTTATATTGGAGAAGATTCCTTATTTAAGTCAATTAAAGTAGCGAGGAAAGCACGGTATATGTTGAGTGCTTCGTAGTGGTACTGTGTGTGACGTAGCTCCACCACACACGCACTCATACACGTGACCAAACACACGTACCTCATGTTCAAAGTTTGGAATATATTAAGCAAAATATAAGCTCGCAAAGCGTTAAGAATACTATTTAAATACTGATTTTATTTATGCCAATATGTTGAAGCCGTTTGTGAAACAAAGTAAGTTGCTCTTGTATACAGATTTATTATAAACACGACACTGTATCGCACGCGATTATAATGTATACCATCAGAGTTTAGCTAGAGATTATTAAGTCTAAAATTAGTGAAACTTAGTGGCTGTTATCATTTTGCTGTGAGCTTCGTTTCAAAGGATATTTATTTATATTATTGTTTCGAATTGATCTTGGATGCATACGCTTTTAATATTAGATATACATACATATATTGTATAGCGAAGGTCGATTCACGCTGAACTGGCCTTTTGGATTTTGTATATTGAATGTTTATAGGTGTTCAAGACATCACTTTGTAATCTAATTGTCCACCTTCCTCGGCCCGAATTGCGGCCATTCCTGTAACTTCAACTGGCTATCGAATTTATTGTTAACACGTACAAAAACTATCACAAAGTAATAATAACTTTTGGAAGTACATAATGTATTATGACACTGATGCTTTATGGATATTTCAATCTCAGAATTCCTTAAGGTAAATCTCCAAGAATTTTGGAATTGGAAAAGATGAGAAATAGACAATCCATATAAAAAACGATTGACCTGTGCGGTAATCTAAATTCATCGTTCGGTAAAGGCGCCAAGGTTCAGTGTTCGATAGTCAGTGAGGAAAAGCTCTCGTGTTTTAATCAATGTTACATACGTATTCGATGTGAGAAATTTTAGAACTACAAGTTTTGAATCATGTATCTACGAGTTTGTCAGTATTCTTAAGTAAATATAATCAGGCTTTACATTATTTACAAAACCCGCCATAGAGAAACCTAGTAGGTTCTAGAAGCTGTGCAAATGAAGTGTGTTATTACATATTTTATTATCATCAGAGATGATGCTTTGGAAAGTCGTAATTGATGAGCAGTATTGAAAGAGAATGCAAGGTATATATATATATATATATATATTGATCGGCTGCCTTAAAAAAAATATGTATAACAGCTGGAGCTCTGAATTTGTTTGTAATGAATGTGTAGCACTTCCATTTTAAGTGTTTCTGGTACGATACGTGCTTGCCAATTACAATTATTTGAGCTTTTATCCGAGATGCTAAATATTTTAAGTAAATCACGAAACATATCATATCTATGTGACTTAAATATAATGTATAATAAATATAGCAATGGAACATATCAATATTTCTAAGAGTAGATCATAGGATCGTTGTTGTTCTTCGGCGTTGCTTTCTAATATGCTCGCGTATTGTGACACGTTTAATTATATACATGTCTGAAATGTATTTAATGTTATTATAATATTATTATACAATGAAAAATATATAAAACATATCTCCAAAAATAATAAAGTAGGTAAATATATTTTATTGTATAAATTATCAGTATAGTATTTCATGACAAAGAAGATAAATATATTACGTAAAATATTGTTGTAAATGAAATGAAAATTTAACCGTATACATATCAAGATGTGTGATCAATGACTTAGATATTTTATGATATTATGTGTTATATATTCGTACTCTGTGTATTTTATGATATAGTCGGCGAATGCGCCTGTGAGGTTGATAGAATGCGCAGATATATTAGGAAGCCATCTGTCCACTGTTAGTTAGTAGATAACCTACTATTGACTTATTCCTAGTTCTTGTTGAATATTTGAAAATGTGAAAAAAATGTGTACTTTTGTGAACTAAGCGGGCGGTCCTGCGACTTCAATAAAAGATATAGTATGTTGGAAATAATATGATTTTTCTATGCGACTTGACTCCTTACCCATTTTTTAAAACCCAGCGCATTGAGAGGGAAGTTATAAGTTTCAAGCTTTCACATCAGTCCACACAGCGGTTTGTTTTTATTTCAATAATCGGGACTGTTCTTGTTTGATAAACATCTGTTCAGCTATTTAAAGGTCATCACCTCTTTTCCCAATTATTAAGGTCGAAGCATACGTAACGTGATTTAGGTATTTAAAGTTCATATTGTTACATAAAAAACCATAGTATTCAAGTGTATATGATGGGAACGGAACGGGACGTGAAATATATCGTCGTCGAAGATATTTTGCCCGTTCCCGTCTCGTCCTCGTCCCGTATGCTGCAACATTAATGTAGAGCTCTTAGTCGTAAAATGAATACATAAAGTAAACAATTTACTTCCACGGGCCCGATTGTGGAAATCCGGTGACACGACAATAATAATTATGGCTTAATCTGTTGCTGCAAACGGGACAATCTGCAGTCTCCCCGACTCCTCAGCCACTTACAGCAGAACTACCGTATTTGTGCTGATTCAAATGGTCTCGACGACTTGTTAGCTTACAGACGGTGACTATTGAAATTTTAGTTAATTTAATTTTTATCGATTGTTTTCTAAATTTTGAGTTTTATGTATTATTTTTATTGACAGGGGGTCGAAATAAAAACACGTGTTTATTATTTACAAAAGTTTAATTTATACAAAATATTTTGACACTTAATCTAATTTTGTACAGTTCTTTATTACAATTAAATAATACTTTTCGTTCAGCATTTGTTTTTGCTTACACTCGACGAATAAAAAAGCAATATGTTTGTAGAACGACGCGATGACTGAACATAAATATCTATAGAGAGACTATGCAATTGCAATACCGTTCTTCCACGACATCTTTTTGTTTACTTCTCTTATAATCACAAATAATACCGTATACCTAGAAAGAAGTTTTCGCAAAACTGCATTTGACGTAAGGCCCTAAACGCGAGCGATTCAGATGAAAGTGCTGGACCAGCGCTGCTTCGGATATTGGAAAGAGATATGTGTCGAAACTACTAAATACAATAACGTAACAATCTCATTCGGACATCGCGAATCGGCGGCAGCTCGAGCGCGCTCGGGGCGGCCGTTCGGGGCGGGTCTTCGCAAACCGCGTACGAGTAAATGACTGACACGAATTTGCTTATCACATAAGAGTTGCAATGGTTTTCTAATAGACGTAACCTCCGTTGGAATCGTAGCTCTGGTTGATAGTGGCCGGGACGCCGCCCGAGTAACCGCCGCCGCCGCCACCGCCCGAGTAACCGCCGCCGCCGCCACCGCCAGAGTAACCGCCGCCGCCATGCCCGCCAGAGCTGCCGTGCCCACCAGAACCGCCGTGTCCGCCTGAGGAGTAGCCGCCAGAACCGCCAGAAGAATAGCCACCGCCGCCGCCCGAAGAGAATCCGCCGGATGGCGCACCGTAGCTACTAGACGGCGCTGCCGGAGCGCCGTAAGAACTAGAAGGAGCAGGGGCGCCGTAGCTGTTAGAAGGAGCCGAAGGAGCGGGAGCTCCGTAACTCGAGGAAGGGCCGCTGCTGCCAAAACCACTACTGCCGAAGCTGCTACCGCCAAAACTGCTACCGCCAAAGCTGCTGCTGCTGAAGCCTGAGGAACCATGTCCCGAGCCACCAGAAGGTGCGCCATACGATGATGATGGCGCGGGGGCGCCGTAAGAATTTGATGGAGGCGCCGGGGCACCATACGAGCTCGATGGAGCAGGAGCACCGTATGAATTAGACGGTGCAGCAGGGGCACCATATGAGCTTGAAGGAGGTGCGCCGTATGAGCTGGACGGTGGCTTAGCGGGGGCTCCATACGAGCTGGATGGACGTTTAGCGGGGGCGCCGTAACTACTGGATGGCTTTGAGGGTGCCCCATACGTGGTGGACGGGCCAGTGGGTACACCGTAGCTCGTTGCGGGTGGTCTGGCTGGCGCTCCGTAGGAGCTTGAAGGCTTAGATGGTGCTCCGTAGCTCGAAGATGGGCGTGAAGGGGGAGGACCGTAGCTAGAAGACGGGGCGGGTGCACCGTAGCTGGAGGACGGAGCCGGAGCACCATAACTGGACGAAGGCGCTGGGGCTCCGTAGCTGGATGAAGGCGCTGGGGCGCCGTAGCTGGATGACGGGGCAGGTGCTCCGTAACTGGATGAAGGGGCGGGTGCACCGTAGCTCGATGAGGGAGCTGGCGCTCCATACGAGCTCGAAGGAGGAGCACCGTAACTGCTGGATGGTTTGGGCGGACCATAGCTGCTGGAAGGCTTGGGAGGGCCATAGCTAGATGAAGGCCTTCCACCACCATGGCCACCACCAAAACCACCTCCATGGCCGCCTCCATGTCCGCCTCCATGACCACCGCCGAAGCCGCCGCCAAAGCCACCACCGAAGCCTCCGCCAAAGCCGCCGCCGTGTCCACCGCCGGACGAAGGCGCGCCGTAGCTGCTCGACGGCCGCGGCGGCTGGTATGAGTTGCTCAATGGCGCTGCGTGTAGAGGAATGGGTGCTTTATTTTATATTGTGACATACGTTCTATATTACGAGCCTCTACTATGAGCTTACGTCTGAGGATCTGAGTTTCGGCGTGGGTTCAGTTTATTGGTTTCAAACAGATATACTCCTAAAGCCGATGACTATTGATCAATAACGTTTGACATCTAATGATGATAGGTACGCCCGACCCGCGACCGGTGGGTCGCAAACCAAGCGCTGAGGTCAATTGTTGCCGTAGTGGTCGGTGTACCGCTGCTGATTGGCATTTTAGCAAACTCTAACACTCATTGTCAATAATCAGAAGTCGTCGCGTTTAAGCATCTTCGCTGTTTACGTTACCAATTAAGCAACGTCCTGGATTGCTTGCTCGGTGAGACTACGACTTTTTTAAGTTTGAAAATGTACTAAACGACTTTGTTTGCGTTACTTTTAAGGACCGCAATGAGGCATACAATTTATCCAACTTTTCGATTGACAAAACATTGTAGTTTTCACAGTGTTAATTCATGTCTAAAAGATTTTGTGCAATTTTACGAAAATGTGAGTGAATATCAGACCATAATTACGGTAAGTAAGAGTAAAAGGAAGTCCTTAATGTAATTGCATATAACTGTTGAATTTAAGAAAGAGCAAAGTCGAGGTAGGAAAGAAAGGAGAGCTCATAGCAGAGGCAGACGGCGCATGAGCAGAGAACAGCGGGAAATTGCTTACCATCTCGTTTGAGCTTGCGCGGGGGCTTCGCCGACACCGCTAGCACCAGCAGCGCAGACACCAGCTGCAGACAAAGAAAGTGGCATTGGTTTACTTGTGTGGTTCAATTGTAGAAAATATTAGCGATAAAAGAATTTAAATGAACGTCTTTATTTATAGTTAACTTTACCATAAATAAAGTTAATTCTATGTAATCTTTATGAGAAACGGACAATCAAACATAATTTTCATTCGAAATTGAAATTTACCTTTAATAGAATACGTATAACCACAGACCACATGTATGACGCAGAAAGAAACACATGTCAAGTTGGTGTATTAACAAAGGAATAAAACAATCTTATCAATCAAATGAAATATTTCGTGATTATTTTTGACTCGTTCGTTTAGGAGTCTTAATATACTGTTTTTATTTAACTAAGTATTGGAATTTGTTGTTAGTCTTGACTAGGTAAGTGTTGGTTAGGGTATCGTTTAGTTTAATGGTAACTTTTTAGATGTTCGTATAATAAATGCGTAAATAATAACGCACACACTTCTAGCCCCGTACTAGGAAAACCCTGTATCAGATGCCACGGACAACCACAAATTACACCCAAACTCACGAGATAAATAAATGTAGGGAATACAAATACTTCTCCCGGACTGGGACCTCTGCGTGGCAGACCAGCACTAGGGCTGCACAAGCGCGCGCACAAGTAAAATGTTCGATAAGTACCGAATCGAAGGGTCATTAAAGTGTAGTAGAGCACCACGTGCTGCTATGAGCCGCAATTATCCCTGTGCGAACAGCGCGCCTGTGGTGCGTTTGCGCAAGACGGTTGCGCAGCCGCGAGGCTCATCTCGCCAAGGCGACGCTGCGGTCATCGAGAACATGACGCTGCGCGCGCACTGGTAGTCGGAGCAAGGTCAGGAAAATTAAACCGGATTTTCAGTGTTTCTCAGTACGCGCTCGACTGACCTTCTTTTGAAATTTCAGCTGTTATGTGGGTCCGTTTTACGGTACGCGAGCATTTATGTATAATCTCGTAGTTTATAGCCATTGAATGATACAGAAGTTCCCATTGTAATTATACTAAAGTTAGTTTGTAAATTTATTTCTAACGCTGGTGTTATTCTATTGCCAAATAATTACAAACAAATATACATTAACTGCCTCCGTGGCCGAACGGTTACCACGCCGGACTGCCACGCAGAGGTCCCAGGTTCGATTCCCGGGACGGGAGAAGTATTTGTATGGCCTACGTTTATTTCTCTCGTGAGTTTGGGTGTAATTTGTGGTTGTCTATGTGTGAGTGCATGGCACCTGTGATACAGGTTTCCCTAGTGCGGGGCTATGTTGAGTGTGTGCGTTATTATTATTGTTATAAAGTCTAATTAAAGCGACTGTCACAGAGCATCGGAAGTGATATATAAATACAAGATTCCTCGCAGACACGTGATGTCGTTGGGCACGCAGCGACTTGTGAACTTGTAATTTTTAAACTTATAATGTGTTTCGTGTCCGACTTCGATATATGCTGTTTATAGCGAGCATCCATCAAGTCAGAAAGAAAATAGCGTATAAGTAATGTTATAAGTTTGTGTATACAAATATTTCTCCTCTTTATGTAGAATTTCACATTTATTTTATAATATATATTTTTTATAATATCAAGTGACGGGCCGAAAAAGTCGTGCGCCTGGTGGTAAGCTACTCAGAGCTTTAAATCGCAAAGATCTGAGGGGCACTAGCACTGCGTCCGTCACCCGGAGACATAAGTTGACAAGTCCCATGTGCCTGTAATTTCACCAAAATATTATAGATGTAGAGAAAGTTGAAAAAACAAACAAATGTTTTTAACGCACGTTAAGCTTCATCTCCAATCTGGTGTATGCCACGCCATCGCCATTGCAACCCTGGCCACGTCTCAAGATCGGCCAAGTGAAACAATGTGCTTTATTATCTAGACACACATTTGGCAATCCGATCACGGCGTTCGGAAAGTAGCGCTTTCCACTACTGATTTTAATCAACGAAATTGGAGAGGTAGGTAGGTTGTGTAAATAACTATTGTTTTAAATCGCCACAAGGTCTTCACTTTTAAGATAATTGTTTTAAACGAGTCTAAGCGCTCTTTGGGCAAGATTTATTGTTTATTAAACGTGGATTAAGCAATGAGGTTCACACGTCTTGCATTAATTGTATGACACAAAGCACCTACCTACTCATTATACATTGATATACATCAACGGTCGAACGAAGTACCTACTTTGAAAAACATACATACAGATACAAATAACTTTGTTGAAAACTTCCGTTATATAAATTCGTGCAAGTTTTAACAACATTTCGTCGCGAGGAGGTAACTTTTTCAGTTAAAACTTTATTATATAAAGGAGCTCTTATTCTGTACTAGAATGTTGTCTTGCTTTGTTATTATTGACGCTGTAGTGACTACAAACTCGTATTTTTTTACGCCCCTTTCAAACTGCAGATAGGGGAAATTGAAAAACTTTCATTATGCATTTTGGATTGTGTTGTGAAGCGCCGGCAACGAAGTACAATAAATAGGTCTTCCGAAAAATTTTCTATCTCGGTAACGTTCTGACATATTGAAAATGTTGAACAAATTTATGTGACGTGAAACACAATAAAGGAAAAAGAAAAGAATACATAAATTAATAATTAAAGGTTTTTTATGGCTGAATGAGTGCGTATTTCACCAGCATCTCACCTGATAGAAAGTGACGATGAGGCCGACGATGAAGCATGCACATCTAAATAAATCCTATTCATTCTCGCCTTGAAAAGGCTCAAGTTACAGCGTTCAGGGGATACGTCTGCAAGCAAGGAATTCCACCCCATAGCCGTTCGCCGTGTTAATGTGGAAGGTAACAAAGTCGAAAATTTTATTGTTCGAAATAACGTTTGTTCAAATTTTCATTACACCGAAAACCGAATTATAACGAAACAGTTGTTCTTTTAGGATATGTTGAATGTTTATCGCAAAGACACGATTAGGTTCGGTTGGGTTAGGTTAAGTTAGGTTTAAAAGAAAAACATTTACCTCTCAAAATTACTTTCGAGGTTATGAAATTTCGACCAAACTTTATTTCTGAAAAACGGCGGCTTCGTAATAATCGTTAACAGAACTCTTCTGAGATGTTCGGTTGGAAAATTATTTGACATAGCGTACAGAACTCCTGGCGCGTTTCGCGTTCAAACAATATTCTTCTATAGTTCGTAGAAGGAGAAGTAGAATCGGCTACATAATATGAAAATAATTAATTACATCAAGGAACATTCTACACATTACAATATTTTTTTACATATGATATTGACAATTTAGTCACGATCACGATCATTTCTCCGCATCCTTTATCTAGCCATTATTGTAAATAAGGAGACTTGTTTGACATAAATATATACCTTCAAGTGGTGATCCGGGGGCCATTGCCAAGTGTCCCCGTCCCACCGTTTAGTATTCCCGTCGTGCGCTGTTGTGGATATACCACGCATATGATATGAGTCTGTCTTAGTCTTATTTCCTCATACAATTATGTAATTTGGTAAAAAATTCTAAACAAGAAGGGAGAAAATACTTTATATTTCGCTTTTGTATGTTGGTTATTTTAATCAGTCCACGTAATTAAATGCAAGGGTAAGGATGCCGGTGAAATTACAAGCACATGGAACTTGTTAACTTACGTCTCAGGGTGACGGGCGCAGTGGCAGTTCCCCTAAGGTCTTTGCGATTAAAAACTCCGAGTGGCGCTGAACATGTTATGGATAGGCGTGTCGCTATCACCAGGCGCAAGACATGTTCGTTCTATCACTTGGATTATAAAAAAAAATCACATACCTATCTAGCTTGTACAACTCGACGATAGGGCATGCACACCTAAATAATGCCTATTCACTCTCGCCTTGAAAAGGTTCAAGTTATAGCGTTCAGGGAACAAGTCTGCAGGCAGGGAATTCCACTCTCTAGCCGCTCGCCATATAAATGTGGAAGCGCAAATCTTCGTGCGAATCCTGGGAATATCCACAACATAGGGGTGGAATAAAAGCCCACGTCTGGAAAGGGGAAGGCGGAATCAAATTATGCAATTCCATCGCACACTCTCCCTGATATATCCTGTAGAATACCGATAAGCAGGCAACTTTACGATGGTGTTCAAGGCTCTGCAGCTTCGCCTCTACTAATTCCAAGTCACCTATAAGCCTCTTGTAACTTGTAAGTAACTTGAAATAAGCAATTATCCCTGTTCAGCTGCTTCCTTTTGGCACCCGTTATTCGCCATCCATACTTCAAAATAAATTGCAACAGCACGTGTAGCAACCGCCAGCAACATCAGAAAGACAATAGCTGACATTAGAACACGCTAAAAGTTGAAACAGTAAGCCCACCGGCGTTTGACAAGAGGCGGGCATTGTTTACACCGCCTTAAGTAGGGTAATGGACACCGGTAACATGACTGAGATACTTAAAACTGCAGATTTTAAATAATGAAAAGACTTAAGTGCCAAAATTGGAGTGTTCATAGTGTCTAAAAATCAAGCTTTTTTTACGTCACGTGTTAGACAGTTCCATTTTAGTTCGATAATACTATTAAAATTCTTCGCGCGGGCAGATCAAAGAACACAGCTAACGTTTGGTAAACGGCAGATACAAAGTGTGCTAGAAAGTAACTATAAACTCGCGAGTGCAATTTAAAAGAGTTTATAATCCTTCAAAACAAGCGCTTTCGCTTTCATTATTGCTATTGTGAGTGGGAACCGCGAGCGCTTCTGCCTAATTACGATCTCAAGCTACGTAATTTGACACGTAATAATCTGCTTTAACATTTGAATCGTTTAGTAGTCCGGTTGCCCGATTGGCTGATAGGAAGGTAAAGAGATTTCTTTTTTATAACACCTTGTGTCGGGATGAACAAGTCGTGCGCCTGGTGGTAAGCGACACGCCAGCCCATAACAGTTGCAGTGCCACTCAGAACTTTAAATTACAACGATCTGAGGGTGCTGCACCCCTATCCTTCAAAACCGGAACACAGTAATGCTCTCATTATTGCTTGGCGGCA